CTGGGTGTGTTCGTAAGTGGCTCAGACCATTGAGCGAGAACGGACAGGGGGTACCGGCAAGTAGCGCCTGACCGCAAGCGGCATTAGGCGCGCAGGCCAAAGGCCCCATCCATCAGATCTTGGGTTCCAAGTGGCTGCTAGGGCCACTACACCTTCTTTTTCTGTCGGAGTAAAAGCTTGTCTAAGCTCAACAGGCTTCGCTGATTTCTGGCATGGGAACCTTCCTGTTTTCGACTTCACAGCTAAGGACACATCGTTTCATTTCGTCCACTTAGTTTGTTTTCAAAGGTTACAGTTCATTTTTCCCAGGATTAATCATTGCAGTTCTTCTTTTCAATTCTGAAAATGTGTATTATCCGAACAGCATTTCTCATGTAATTTGAGAAAACGCTGCTCAAAAACTACACTTTAAGATGCTGTTAGGAAAATTAAGATTTAATCTAATGCTCGCAAAGTGACTGTCTGTGTAACACCGCTGGCCTTTGGATGATCAATGTGTCCTCAGGTTCTTTACGCAGTTACACTTGGAGGACAGCGGTCTTTAACTGTGCAGTTTAATATGCTTAGGTCACATGAGGGGTTACTTACATGCCAACCTAGGGCGTTAGTGTAGGATTTTAAAATACCTGTGCGCACTGTGGCGTATAATGCACCTGAAATGCGTGGCAGAGGCAACAGTTCAGATGACTATCGCCTCCGCTATCAAAAATAATCAGTTAGGTAACGCTGCAGCAGGAGAGCGATCTAGTCGTACATACGTGCTCTCTACTTTATTTTTTTCTGACTTCAATGTACGACCTTGAAAAAATTATTCTTCTAAGGCACTTTCGGCAAACTGTGAAAAATAGAGCACTGCACAACTATTGCAGATTTTCCTGAAAGCATGGATAAACCGTCGATAGTAAAAACTAAATTTTGTGAACGCTGTTTCGAATTTGCCGTAAGGCTTTCTACATCTACCTGACTAGGCCAATATTCCCTTTTTAATGTACAACGCAGGTCTGAGGCTGAAAGGTAAATGTGTTAAACTTTTGACCCAAAACAGACTGACTCAAAATTGTAAAAAACTCATACTGCATTAGATCCCGCTTATCTGCAGGAACTCAGCTTGAACGATCATTTGTTTAGGAGCAACCGATGAGCCAAAACTATGATGCCTGCACCGCTGCACAATCATTTACCAATGTTTAATGACCGTAGGGTTAATGACCAGACAGTGGGAGGGAAAAGCAAGCATCAAATAGATTTATCAGGCAGAATAAAATGATTGAGATGAGATTGCAAACGAAGGTAGCAGGAGAGACTAGTAGACAGGGTACCACTAAAACATGAGAAATTTGAACATTACTGAAAATTATCTCCTGAGGCCGCCAGTTATGATAGTACCGCAATCTGGAAAGGCTCAAGCAGACGTCTAACGAGTTAGTAGAATATTATTTCTCCTGCTTTGATGGTACCCTGTCTACTAGTGTCACCTGCTCCCTTCTTTTGCAATCTAGTCTCAATCATTTTATTCTGCTTGTTAAATCTATTTGGTACTTGCGCTTCCCTTACACTGGCTGGTCACTAACCTTACGGTATTTTCATGCAGCTTTTCAGTATCAGACCCTTTACTACCTTCCTCAGTCTGATCAAGTAGAGAAGGATATCCCAGTAATAGGCCGTTCTTCGCATTGCTTTTTGGTCAAATATGATTTCCATATAGTGTTAACTACGGTGTGACGGCACTCTACAACGGCCAAACGCCGGAGTGTTTCAATTTTCGAAGATCTGGTTCAATTCATCTGCTGTGGTCTAATGCATACGAGGACACTGTTTTCGGCCCCGTGCTATTTTCTTTGTATCAAAGGGTTGCCGTCAGCGTAAAGGGCACATCCCAGCTCAGTGTTAGTATCCACTTGTCAGGAAAACATACGTTTAGTTCATTGTCTTGGTGGTCACCTTGACTGTTTCATCTGATTATGTTTTTTGCGTTTTAATTTCGTACATGTTATGCAGAGAATCCTTCTTCAATAGAAAAAAATATTATATTTTCTTATGTCCTCCAACACCCCTTTTGAATTTTGGCGGCATTTTTTGAAGCACTGGCGTTTGAGTCACCCTACGTTCTTACTCATTTATGCGTAATAGGCGCAGATGTGTGCATCGTGACTTCTGACGCACTCGATAAAAGTGTGACTGACCACCACGCCTATGACGTCTCTTAGTTGCCAAAACTGAAACTGTATGCTACCATAAAATCTCTAGAGGTATAAAACTTTCAAAAAAATAAATGTATGTGTCTCAACCGTGGCCACACAGTCTAACTGGGATTTTATGCGAGCATAGTATTAAATACTGTTCTATAAAAGTGATTTTCAATTTTGCCTGAAAGAGGATAATTCCGATAAATCATGTTAAAGCATGAATGGATGTTGGTTTTGTTTTTTGGAAGACTTCAGTCCTTCTTGCCAAAATGATTGTAAAGAAAACAGCTTAGCAAATGGTCATAATCGAACGATACTTAAAGTGTAGGAAACTTCAACAGCATCAAAATATTTTCATTTTAGGGAGGTCTGAGGTTTCAAAAATATTTTTCTTAGATTTTGCACGAATGAATTAGTTGAAATAAGCTCAATGGACTCTTTAACTATACTGTCTTTATTCAAGGATAATCCTTGCATACCATATGTTCATTTGTTTGGTTGCCCTCTTGGACATTTTCAGACATAGATGATTCGTTATTAATGTCTATGTGGTCATATATATATATGGCATAAGGTCTGTCGAAAGTACCATTTGACAGAATATATCTTCTCATCTAAGTTTAATTTCTCACTTATACGGGTTTGAATCCTGTTCTTTTTAAGTGTTAGACATTCCTATTTCTGAAAATCCTGATAATTAAGGTGCCCTTAGTAAACGAGTTTTCTGAAAAGCTAGACAATGCCAGGAAAACCCAGCCAGGAACCGTTGACGCTTACGGTTCAAACCCGTTCTTAGGACGTGGAATTTGTTTGTCAAATGTTCCGACCAAAGCCATATTTATTTATCTATTAAAACCAAAGTTGGCTTTAGAAGTATAGTGTCGTTGTCGCTTAACTGAAGTTAATTGGGTCTTTCCCGACATCTAGTTTCCTATGGAAAAAGAAGTCAACAATTTGTTGTCCTTCCTTGACGTCCAAGTTACAAATCTGACAGACGGGGAGATAAGAAAAACGGTCTACCAGGCGCATTCGCCACTACAGTGTGTTTGAACACGTCCGAAGAGGGTTCTGACACAACTGCGTTTGTGACCAACAGAGTGGTTACTTTGGAAGCGGAGAATGCGCCCGGTGTTAGTTGCCTTACGATAAACCGTTGTCCTTATCTTCCCATCTGTCAGTTTTGTAACTTGGACGTCAAGGAAGGGCAACAAGTTGTTGTATTTTTTTCCATGGTTAACAAGATGTCGGATAAGATAAAATTCAAAAATGCCTTGAAAGCTTGCGCGTGGCTCCTCTTTAGTATGACGAATGTGACGTATCTGGCCCAGAACTTCGGGGACACCGAGCTGAAAGCTAGCTGCTCGAGCCTCTGTAAAAGTACTTAGGCAATGAGTCCAGACAGAGAAGAGCCCATTGGTGTGCCCTTCTCCTGCTTATAAACCTGACCGCTGAAGGGGAAAAAGGTCTTACGATACAACTCAAGGAGCTCGATGATATGCGCTCGTTAGATTTTGTACTCGTTTTCGTCATATTTTTCCCAAAGAGGGCCATCAATAGTATCGATAGCCAGTGTGGGTGGGATTGAGGTGTAAAACGAGATCACATCGAATGACACTTTTCACCTCGTCTACCTTAGCATCAAGGTACTGAGTGCGTGTCAATGCCGTCAAAGTGGTTGTACCAGCGACTTTCTTTCCTTACCAAGGTTTTATCGTGGACAGTGCAGTCAGCTGAAGAATTCTTGGCAGACATTCCGTATATTGACATAGACCCGCTGCCAGTAACCGAACAATCAGCCGTTGTCTACAGCATATCATGCAAAAATTGCGATGCGAGGTATGATGGTGACAAGGGCACACGCCTGGGCACAAGGTTGCACGAAAATCAACTTGCAATCAATGACAAGGACGAGTTGTATTTGGTCTGTGGTCATGTGCAACAGCTGAACCACTTGTTTGCCTTTGAGAAAGCGAGAGTGATCGGCAAGGCCAATGAAAAGATGGTCATGCTACTGCCCGAAATTTGTTCCTTCACTGGCACAATCAACAGAGCTGTAGACTTGAACCTTCCCTACCAGGCGCTTCGTCCAAGGCTCATACCAACTCGGACAGGGTCAGTTGGGCAGACGAGACTGCAGAACCGAAAGTCTACGTTCACGGAAAAAATGGGAAGCGGTCGGAGGTCACTGTCTCATCGACGCACCTTCGAAATGGGGAACAACTCAGGCGAACAGCAACAAGTGATGATTCCGCCGGTTGACGTGGGGTAGGCCAACAAGCATATTGACTCGCCGATAACTATGCTGACCCTAAAGTGGACAAAGATCACGCAAGCCTGCCAGCAGCCAACCTCCGGGAGACCAAATGTAGTCGGCAATGGATTGGCAGGCCAAAGTTCGCGCGTCCAGCACGGGTAAAATAAGAGGCAGGCGGCAAAACTGTCTAACTCAAGACCACCAGACGCAGCAACTACAATACTCTGACAATGGAAGTGAGAAGGCTTCCGAAACGTCAGTTCAAATATAATTTGGTACACGATCCTCCCCCCTTTTCTTCTTCGTCTGCTTTGGGAGACTATGAACGCAATATATATGTATGTAAGTATGAATTTGAGAATCGACATCAGTAGGCACGTTGAATAAGATTCGATGCATACCAGTCTCAAAGAAGCCTGGAAAAGGCATCAACCAACAGACCGTACTATTGACCAACGATGGAAAAACGTTATAGATTTTTTCGGTATGTTTGAAATTCGCACTGTTCTGTATACATTTCCCACACGTCCGACGACGACCTGATGTGCCAGAGTCTAAAATTTACAATAAAGTTTATTTACATTATCTAAAGAACTCCTCCCACCAAATATAATTATATATATATATATATATTACATAGGTGGCCTGTATTGTCGTTTATCATAATAAAGGTCCAAGGGATGTCAAATGTTTTGGGCTTAAGTTATTATTTGCACGAACTTTATCGTAAACCGTTCGAATCATTCTCAGATATCAAAATCAAGTTTTTATTTGACAACTCATGTTGACTGCCCGTACATTACATGAAGTCTGCAGGTTTCCACGAGTTTGCCATGATACTTTCTGAATGAATTGCGTAGTCAGCATATGTTGACGCCAATTCTAAGTAATAGTGAGCGTTCGATAAGAAATTAACCTTAGCCTTTTCGGATGCGTCCATGAATGGCATTTAAGAAGTAGCCAGGTAGGAATTTTGCAGGTGAGGTGCAAATACCTTCTTGTAGCCTGAATCACCTACACACGTCTCCCTGCATTTCAAAACGGTCATTATAAGAAATTCTGAAAATAAAAAGGTAAGCTCACTTCCTTAGTTTCAGAGCTACTCTGGAATTACTAAAGTGATTGTAATTGCGCTAAGAAAACCCACGTTGGCCTAGCCATTTTAAAGGCGTTTACTTCATTCGGAGTACACCACAAGATTACACCCACCCTGGGGCCTCTACTTTGTGCGAGAACCTAGTGCTTAAGTTAGTTAGAAGTAACAAGGGGAGGAAACTCTCGATTGTAAACTTTCCCATGCATCACTAATTGTGAGAAGTGTATATTTTTTATACGTTTAGAGTTTCCTAAATATGCTTAAACTAATAGTACATACTAAGGTTGCATTTTATCGCAGCAAACCAAGTGTCCATAGAAGTCGACATCTAAAAAATAAACATATAGGTGGAGAAAATGTTAACAGTATAATATTTTAAAAGCAGTCATTATAAAAAACGTGTTGCCTCCCGGGTCGCATTAAGAACCTAAAAACCCTCTCTAATAGGAGCCCACAATATATTTGACTATTCTGCTTGAAAGGTACTAAAACGGCTTCCCATCGAACAGCCCGAAATATAGCTTTTCAATTTTTTTTCTATAAGGAAGGATGGAAACTTTTAGCGCTGTTATCGTCTTGGTTGTTCCGCTGTATTGATAGACTTTACAGGTGGGAAGTCACGGATTTCACGTGCGAGGCGGACAAAGGGCTACGAAATCTCGTAAAAAGTCTAACTAAACCCATCAATAAGTGATCAGAGTCTGAGAAAATGTGGATCGACTTGGCACATCTTTACGGCCAAGCCTCACGCGTACCCACGCATCTGATCTGCACACAGTATCGTGAATGTCAACTAACGTCGACAGATGTGCTCGCAGTTCACTCCTCGCTGTGCGCACATTCACGTGCATGCGTGACAGTGGGTGACTCCAAGTCCGCGTGTGTTTGCATGTATGTGCGTGTATGTATGTGTGTGTGCATATGTATGTGACTGCATGTGCTTACCCCTGCATCACTGTGTATGAACTACCATGAAAGCCGTCAACGTTCCTACAAAATTTGCATCTGCCTGCATTTCCGACTCGGGATAAGATCAACAAACAACTCATTACTGTCCTTCCGTTCTAGATTCTTAGCATACAAATTAGAAAACGTCTACAGGCTGGAAGTGGGGCAGGGCACAAAACCATAGTTTTTTTTCGACTGACACATCAACGCAACTACTATTGTATCCACTCGCTGTCTCCTTTGATTCTCCGCGTTTGGGCTTTTTACACTGACGTTTAGCAGAAGATGACAGGAAACAATGAAGCAAAAATTTAGATTTGAATGGACAATTAAAAAAGTAAAAAAGATTGCATCGGTAAAGGCGATAAGCATATACTTTGGGCTATCACGTGATAGATCCCGGGTTAAAACCAATGATAGAATCAAACTTATTTGCTATGGAAAGAGTTTTGTCCCCACAGTGATCAAATTCACTCCTAATCTCTCACCAGAATAGCGACTTTTAATGTTGATACTATTCATTGGTATATTCATTGAAGTTTCCTACTGGCGTGTGCGCATAAATGTTACATATTTCATTGATTTGCATTTGACTACCGTGTTTAGAGAAACAATCAAAGTGGTTGAACGTATTTTCATTTCACTCAAAAGTTATTTATCAGGGGATAGGAGAGCGTGCTAGAAATATGGAGAAGGCTTTAATTGGTGAGAAATCTGCAAGTATTTAAATATTTCATTAGGTACTAACTGGAATTTACGTAAAAAACTATATATCTCGCATATTTGCAAGCAGCAATTTAAGTTTGAAAATATGCATGTTTTCCGTGCAGTTAAAAATGTATTGTTGGGGGGATCGCTTGCTATAACAAGTCAATCTCTCAACATTTGCTTTCGACCAAACATCGAATATTTACTCTTAAAAGGCTTTAATACGGAACAGCTTAAAACAGTCTACCGAAAGGATCAGGAATAGGGCAAGCTTTTATCAGATAGCCTCACAAAATTAGGCTCTCTAACAAGACACCGGTCTCGCTGAATAAAAGCAAACAGTACTCTGCTTTCAAAAGGAGGATGAGAAAGAGCGTGTAAAATTTTAGAGGCAAGAGAATCAACCTATTAATGAGAAACACTACCATGCCTTGTTGGATTCTTAGATGATTATGTTCTTATGGACGTTTGCCATATCATAAAATATTGCAGCGCTAGGTGAATCATCGAACATCGGTTTCGAGTATTTGTACCATCAGGTACGAGCTTAAAATACGTAAGGTCAGGGCTTCATAAAGCAACGGTGAATAGCCGTCATTTTGCAAGGAACTGATCCATGTGTTAGAACTGTCTCATGTTTAGCCCTTTTCTGAAATTCCTTAAAATGCAGTTACCAGAAACACTTTTAGCACAGGAATGTTAGAGTTTTAAAGTCTTCAGACGCATATATGCTCAGTTAAGTAAAATTCTGTCCCATTGTTAGAAAAGTGTAAGTTATTCTGTTCCTGTACGACATTGCCATAGATA